TGCCTTGCCCAACCACTTCTGAGTAATGTTTGATTCTTGTGGCACTTTAGTATTTCTAACACCTTTTCATATTTTTATTTTTGAGATAGGGTCTTGCTAAGTTGCTGAAGCTGGCCTTGAACTTGCATCCTCCTGCCTCAAACTCCTAAATAGCTGTAATTATAGGCCTGTGCCAGCTGCATCTGCATATGATTACTAGAGAATTATGCCATCCAGATCAAAGGAAGAATTTTTGATCACCTACCCAGAAGAATAAGAGCATGTGGTATACAATTATTAAAGGTTCCATCAAAGCAAGGATAGACTGTGAGAACACTGTGTAAAAGAGGACTAGGAAAATGGGAAAGAAGGGAGTAGTCAAGAAATATGTTACTAAAAGAAGTAGTAGTGGTGGAGGAGGAGGAAGAGGAGGAGGAAGAGGAAGAAAAAAATGTTACTAAGGGGGAAAAAAAGAAGTATGTTACCAAGGTGTTGGGCAACAGGTAGAATTTGCAACACTGGGTCATCAATGTACTTCTACACAATGAGGGACAGAAATTCAGAGCAGTAGCAGTTAAGGAGAAATGAGACTACTTGAAATCACTGGCAGGGAAACCAGAAAGGGGATATTACGTTTCAGAACAAATATACCATGCACTTAAATGCCTTGTACTTTGTGCACAACATCCTTTCTCCCTCCATTTTCTTTTGCCAAAATTTTAATCCCAAAGAGCCATTATAAATCCAGTCATATAGTTATGACAAAGAAGTAGCTGTGAGGAAGGAAAACATTTTCCTCCACCCTCTTCTGTTCAGTGCTTAAGGCTTGTGAATTAGAGCGACAAAAGATAGATTAACAAGAGAAAGGGGTTTATTTGTATGCACAGGGAATCAACAAAAGAAGTAGCTGGCTCATTAAATGGTTAAAGTTAGAGGCTTACAAGTCTCACTTAGTAGGGGAAAGGTAAAGGGGAGAAAGGCTTAGCAGAGAGGGAGGGAAAAAGAGGGGGGAAAGGGAGGGAGGAAGAGGGAAGAAAATAGGTTTCTGTAGGAAACACAACAGGTCTTTAAGAGAAATAAAGGGGAGAGAAGAAGTGTGTGAAGTAAAGTATCAGTATCAGTGGTCTTTCTGTCTTCTTTGAGGCCATAAAACTCCCCTGGAGAGGGTATTTATGATTAATTTTATTCTCGATCTCTCTTCTGGGAGTTAGAAGCCTCCCAGAAGAGGAAATTTGTGGCAGTCCTCATTTTTTCAGAAATTAAGAACATTTCATCTGCCAGGCATGATTGGCACACACCTGTAATCCCTGGGACTCAGGAGACTGAGGCAAAAGGGTTGCAAGTTCTAGTCCAGCCTCAGCAACTTAAGCAAGGCCCTAAGGAACTTAGGGAGACTGTCTCAAAATAAACAAATAAAAAGGGCTGGGGAGGTATCTTAGTGGTAAAACACACCTGGGTTCAATCCTTGGCAGCAGGAAAGGAGGAGGAGGAGGAGGAGGAGGAGGAGGAGGAGAAAGAAGAAGGAGAAGGAGAAGAAGAAGATTAAGATTATTCTTCTGGTGTAACCATGGTCCACTTTTTGCTTTGAATATAGCTGCTCTGCCACTATTTTTTTTTTCTTTTTTTTTTTGGTACTGGAGATTGAACTCAGAGGCACTCTACCACTGAACCACATCCCCAACCCTATTTTGTATTTTACTTAGAGACAGGGTTTCACTGAATTGCTTAGCACCTTGCTTTTTGTTGAGGCTGGCTTTGAACTTGAGATCCTCCTGTCTCAGCCTCCAGAGCTGCAGCGATTACAGGTGTGTGCCAGGGCACCTGGCTGCCACTACTTTAAAACAGACATATTTCTTTCTCTTCCTCTCCCTCCCTCTCCTAATCTTGCCCCCTCCCCTGTCTTGCAGGTAAACAGGATTACCTTTCTTTCTCATCCTAGGCAGAGTTATCTGTCCTTGAGCACACATTCACCACAGGAATGAAGTAGTTCAGACTTTGGCATCAGAAGGTCTCAGGAATGACTATCTCCCTGGTATGCTCGAATTCGGGACCCCCAAAAGACCATCAGAGACCAAGATTGATGTAAGCAGCAAAGAGGCGTTTATTGCGAGCTAGCTCCATCCTCTGCGCGCACACAGAAACTGGTGATGCTGAGAGCCCAGGGTTTGCAGCAGTTTTATACACTCTTTGGGGAAGACAGGGACTTCACATACATCATAGCATCTCTTAGCAAATCATCACACACCGCGAGAAAATCATAAAACAACTCTAAAACATGATTAGGACATTCACTGGCAGGAACAAGTTGGGTAAGGGTGATTGGTTAGTACAAGAGTGGGATTCCTTTGAACTGATTGGTTTGAGCCACGAGGGGCTCAAAACCATGTTGGGAAACCATGCTAAACTACATGGTTTCCCAACATGTTATCAACCACCATAAACTACTGGGAGGGTCATCAGGTGTCCCAGGTATTTTCCTGGTCTCATGCTGATTGGTGGTTGCTAGGGGGTTGCCATGGGTCCTCACCTAGCCTGACTGAGTCAGGGACACTTGGCTCTGCAGATCTCTCCTGTTATTTGTAGATAAACAACTCAGCAGGGTGGGTTTGTGCCTAGGAGTGCTCTGTGGGTCTTTCCAAGGACAAGGGTCACGCCCCCTTCCTTGGACAGGCTTTGCTCTGAGGTAGAGGCTGGTTTCTCATCCCAAAATAACAAGCAAAATACAACTTCCAATAGAGAACATGTGGAATGTAGCCTTCGAATCTTTAAAAAAAAAAAAAAAAACTCTGTTCACCCTGATGAAGCACAGCCTCTGGGACAATAGTCCCCAGTGCTTCTCCTCTGCTAGCAAAGCAATAAGCCTTCTTTTTCCTTTTTCTCAATACTGTGTCCTTGTTATTAGATTAGCATCAGGTACAAGGACCAAGCTTTCGAAACACAGGGGACTTCCAGAGGCTGTGATTCTGCCCATTGGCAGGAACAGGGAGCTTTTAAAGAGGTAATGCAAAGGCTACTTAACACCTGTTCCCTCCCTGGAGCTGTAATTCACTTGTTAATTTGGGAGATAGTCATTTCTGAGATCTTCTGGTACTATCCCTAAAGTCTGGATTACCTTTTTTCTATGGTCGGTGTGTACTCAGAGACAGATAAATCTGCCTAGGATGGGGAAGAAAGGTAATCCTGTTTTCCCCAAGATTAGGGAGGGGGAGAGATTAGGGAGGAGCAGGGAGAGGAAGAGAAAGAAACATGTCCATTTTAAAAATAAGTTGCAGTGGAAGAGCAGCAAAGGTTATATTCAAAGCAAAGTGGACCACTGTTATAAGACCCTGTTTCAAATATAAAAGATAAAAAGGGCTGGGGATGTGGCTCAGTAGTTAAGTGCTATTGGGTTCAATTCCCAGTATTAAAAAAACCCACCTTTGTCTTTGTTATTGGATTGGCATTGGTGACAAGGACTGAGCTTTCTGTAACATTAACACAGAGCAAATCCCAACTTGTCATGGCAGTGGGGACTTGAAAGACTGATGTCATTATGCTGTCAGTCAAATATCAAGAGGTGAACCTGGATCTGACACTTTGGGTCTCTCTTTTTTTTTTTTTTAAAGAGAGAGAGAGAATTTTCTAATATTTATTTTTTAGTTCTCGGCAGACACAACATCTTTGTTTGTATGTGGTGCTGAGGATCGAACCCGGGCCGCACGCATGCCAGGCGAGCGCGCTACCCGCTTGAGCCACATCCCCAGCCCCAACTTTGGGTCTCTCTCTCTCTCTCTCTCTCTCTCTCTCTCTCTCTCTCTCTCTCTCTCTCTCTCTCTCTCTCTCTCTCTCTCTCTCTCTCTCTCTCTCTCTCTCATTTATTTATTTAGTTGTTGTTGTTTGGTTTTTTCCTTTGGTACTGGGGAATTGAACCTAGGGGCACTTAAAAACTGAGCCATATCCCCTGCCCTTTTTATTTTGTATTTTGAGACAGGGTCTCACCAAGTTGCTCAGGGCTTCACTAAATTGCTGTAGCTGGCCTTGAACTTGCAATCACTTGGAGTTGCTGGGATTGCAGGTGAGCATCACTAAGTCCAGCTGTCCTTCTTCTCTGAAAGGATCCATTCTCTCCATCTAACAAATGTATGCCTGTTATTCTGGGCTAATCTTTCTGATTTGATTACAAGAATCAGGGTGAAGGAAGGGAAATTTTTCACAAGCCAGTTTCCTGAAAGGCCCCAGCCCTGTAACAACAGGACTTGCTAGTTCTGCCAGGCCTCATGGTGCAGCCTGTAATCCTGGTGACTTGGAAGACTGAGATTGGAGGATCATAAGTTCGAGGCTCTACACAACTTAGACAGACCCTGTCTCAAAATAAGAAATAAAATGACTAGTGATGTAGCTCAGTGGTAAAGTTACCCTGGGTTCAATCCCCAGTGCCAAAAAGAAAAAAAGGAAGGAAGGAAGGAAGGAAGGAAGGAAGGAAGGAAGGAAGGAAGGAAGGAGGAAAGGACTTGCTAGTTCTGTGGATCTTGGAGAAGTTGTCTAGAAGTCAAACAGATCTGGTTTTTAATTGCTGCTCTGCCACTTAACTTCCCCGTGCCTCAGTTTTCCTATGTGTAGAATGGGACTAATGATCTTTTTATAATTAATTACTTGGTAGGATTGTGAGAATTGAAAATTAGTAATTTTAAAATGCCTCTGTTAGTGTTTGGCATTCATAAAGAACTCGATAAATGGGTAATGGGAGACCCAGGGTCTAGTTTATGTTCCTGGCCTTGGTAGCTGTGTGGTCTCCTGTTTCTTATTTACTTCACCATCCCTGACTGAGCCTTACTCTTCTCATCTATGAAAACAAAGCAAATATGCCCCGCGTGTGTCCAGGGTTCCTTCCATCTGGAGAATTCTGAATCAAATGTAATTCAAAGTTTCTCAGTGAAGGTGACTCAACCGTGCAGCTGCCAGGAGCTGGAGGTAGGAAATCGAGGGGCGGGGCCTCCTAGCTAGGGCAACACACTCAGTGGGAGGATCGCTGCCGCGCCTACCTCTCGGCGTTTGGGAGTTGGACGCCGGGGTCAGCCGGACAGCTATTTCGGGAATCTGAATGCGGATTCGAGCGAGGAGGTTCCTGGGAGCCTCCGAAGGGCTTCCGCCAGCCTCACTAGATCAGCGAGAGCGCAGGCGGCCTCCTGCGACGGTGACAACAAGGCGGTGCCCCAGTTAACCTCAGAGCGCGTCCGCCAGTCCCAGTGGCCGGCGCGGTTCGGGTCAGGGCGGTGGAGGGCGGGGGCTGGGGGGGCGGGACCGGGGCGGTCCCTGGCACGCCTCACCCGCCCCGCCTCTGCAGCGTTGACAGGACCACCCGCCACCGCCAGGATCAGCTGCTGGGCACGGGAGGAACAGGAAGGGGTGGAGCTGCTGCTTGGCAAGCTGCTGAGCAATCAGCCGACCACAGCGAAGGGTAATCGGGTGCCCCCAGCGCCACCGGGGCTTGGCCCTAGGTCGGTAGGGGCCTGAAGGGCGAACAAGCCCTGTGTGGGAAGCCCGGCTATGCCCTGCCACGGAGTGTCAACCCGCTGGGGCCATCCCAGGTTCTGCTGGAAGCAGGCACTGGAGAGGACCTCAGGAGCCCCCGGTCTGGGACTCCCGTGGATGGTCCTGAGCCTGGCGCTGGTGCTGGTTCTGCTCGACCCCATGGTTCTCTGGGTCCCTGCCAGAGCTCACCCTCTTCCTGCTCAAGACCATCCTACCAGATTCCATGGCATAGTCCCCCAGCTCCGGGATGCCTTTGGGTGGAGAAATCTCACCTGCCCAGTCTGCAAAGGCCTATTCACCGCCATCAACTTCGGGCTGAAGGTGAGCACTGAAAAGAAACTGTGGTGGAGCCGGTCAAGGGGGAGTTCTGAGGGTGGTGGCTAGGACTGATGAGGTGCCCTCAGGTCTGAATGTATCCCTGTTAGCCTGGCTTCTACAATGCCTTTACTGACTTGGCTTCCTTTTGGGGATATCCATGCCTACTTGCCATTGCTACCCCATTGTAACCTCTGTAAAGGAAAGAGTGGAGACATTGCCTGAGAAAGCCTGCCAGTCGAGCATAGGCCTGAAAGGTTGCTGGCCACTGAGTTGAAGGGGAAGTAATAGCCTGTTATTTCCTGGGACACAGGGGCATTATATAGGAGGCACTGAGGTCTCTTCATCATGTGGCACTGAGTCCAGCCCAGACCCAGTTTAGATATAGAGGCCCACAGGTTTGTGGTCTGGTTGAACTGGTTCCCCTGCCCCATCTCTGACTTCTCACTGTTGGTTCCTTCCACCACAGAAAGAGCCCAATGTGGCACGGGTGGGCTCAGTGGCCATCAAACTGTGCAAGATGCTGAACATAGCACCACCCACTGTGTGCCAGTCAGCTGTCCAGCTTTTTGAGAATGATATGGTGGAGGTGTGGACACGCTCAGTACTGAGTCCATCAGAGGCCTGTGGCTTACTCCTGGGCTCTACCTGTGGACGTTGGGATATCTTCTCATCTTGGAACATCTCTTTGCCAGCTGTGCCGAAGCCACCCCCCAAGCCGCCCAGCCCACCTGCCCCAGGTGCCCCTGTCAGTCGGGTCCTCTTCCTCACTGACCTGCATTGGGATCATGACTATTTGGAAGGCACAGATCCTAATTGTGCAGATCCTCTGTGCTGCCGACGGGGCTCTGGCCTGCCACCCACCTCCCAGCCAGGTGCTGGATACTGGGGAGAGTACAGCAAGTGTGACCTGCCCCTGCGGACCCTGGAGAGCCTGTTAAGTGGGCTGGGCCCTGCTGGGCCTTTTGATATGGTGTACTGGACAGGAGACATCCCTGCCCATGATGTCTGGCAACAGTCTCGTCAGGACCAGCTTCGAGCTCTGACCACCATCACAGACCTCGTGAGGAAGTTCTTGGGACCAGTTCCAGTGTACCCTGCTGTGGGCAACCACGAGAGCACACCCGTCAATGGTTTTCCTCCCCCCTTCATAGAGGGCAACCAATCTTCCCGCTGGCTCTATGAGGCAATGGCCAAGGCCTGGGAGCCCTGGCTGCCTGCTGAAGCCCTTAATACCCTCAGGTACTTCAGGTTCATTTAAAGTCAAGAAGGGAAAAGAAAGATGGCTGAGAGTGAAGGGAGAAGGAAACTTGGGGCATTATCTCTGACTGCTCAGGGCTCTTCACTGCTCCTCCCTAATCTGACTCCACCTTCACTTTCTACCCTTATCTCTTTTAAAAAGCTAGAAGCACAACCTCTCCACGCCCTAGCCTGGATTCATGTTGACTTTTTTTTTTTTTTTTACTTTACTAGGGATTGAACCCAGGGTCATTTAACCACTGAGCTTCATTTCCAGTCCTTTTTGTTTTTTATTTTGAGACAGAGTCTCACTAAGTTGCTTATTACTTAGGGACACACTAAGTTGCTGAGGCTGGCCTTGATCTTGTGATCTTACTTCCCCAGTCTCCTGAGTCAGTGGGATTACAGGCATGTACACCATGTCTGGCTGTGTTGGCCCTCTAAAATTATTTCCCCTCCTCTTTAACATCCCCAACTTTTCCCAATTTTCCTAGGCTCAGGTCATCTTCTGTCAGAATGGCCTTTTCCCACTCTAACTCACCTTTATCTCTTCCCCCATGCTCCTGGTGCTCCCAACTCTCTGAGCCTTTCTTTTCTCATAAGAGTCCTACAATTAGTGCAGTTTAGTCTTCAGGTAGAATGCAAACTCCTCCAGTGTGGGGATGACCTCATGTGTGCCTCTGCCTAGCACAAGACTGGACTTGCAGGATAGGATTATGAACAAGTGTTGACCATCTTGTTCACTTTGTTTCAGAATTGGGGGGTTCTATGCCCTTTCCCCACGCCCAGGCCTCCGCCTCATCTCTCTCAATATGAATTTTTGTTCCCGTGAGAACTTCTGGCTCTTGATCAACTCCACAGACCCCGCTGGACAGCTCCAGTGGCTGGTGGGGGAACTTCAGGCTGCTGAGGATCGAGGAGACAAAGTGAGGGACAATGGTGGGAATCTTGTGGAGTAGGTACAGCTGAGGGTTGGAGGAGAAGCAAGCTCCTGTCAAACTAGAGCATCTATGGGCTGATTTTCTGGTGTTGTCAACCTGCTTCCTGGGGGTTCAGTTCATGGTCACTCTGGAAAGCCCTTTCTTCTATACCCCCTGGCTAGGGTTGCCTGAGTCCCTGATAACCACCCTTCTCTCTCCCCCAGGTGCATATTATTGGTCACATTCCCCCAGGGCACTGCCTGAAGAGCTGGAGCTGGAATTATTACCGGATTGTAGCCAGGTAGGAAGAAGTGGGTGGGAATAGGATGGTGGGGGTTGAAGAGTCTAAAGATTAGAATTCCCTTGAACATCTCAGCTTCTCTGCTGTTCCATGGGTTGGTGGGGAGGCTACCTCTGAAGAAGCTTGTGAAAGAGCATCCTAAATCCCTAGCTCTTCCTCCCCCACTCCAGACACTTTTGAATATAATTTATGTCTTCTGGCCAGGTATGAGAACACCCTGGCTGGTCAGTTCTTTGGCCATACTCATGTAGATGAGTTTGAGGTCTTCTATGATGAAGAGACTCTGAGCCGGCCACTGGCCGTAGCCTTCCTGGCACCCAGCGCCACCACCTACATCAGCCTTAATCCTGGTGAGTGATGCAGGGGGGAGCCTCCTTATCAGGGTTTTGGTGGGACAGGTGAAGGGGATGGGAGCCAAGGCTGGCAAGGGGAAGGATGTGTGATCCTCTCTGGACTTGCCTTTGCTTCTTTTCCATTCAGTCAGCCCTCCTTCCTTGCAGGTTACCGTGTCTATCTAATAGATGGAAACTACACCGGGAGCTCTCATGTGGTCCTGGACCACGAGACCTACATCCTGAACCTGACGCAGGCGAACGCACCAGGAGCCAAACCACAATGGCAGCTCCTCTACAAGGCTAGAGAAACCTATGGGCTGCCCAACGCGCTGCCGGCTGCCTGGCACAACCTAGTATTCCGCATGCGGGATGACATGCGACTCTTCCAGACCTTCTGGTTTCTCTATCATAAGGGCCACCCGCCCTCAGAGCCCTGTGGTGCACCCTGCCGCCTCGCTACTCTGTGTGCCCAGCTCTCTGCCAGAGCTGACAGCCCTGCTCTGTGCCGCCACCTGGTGCCGAATGGGAGCCTCCCAGGTGGCCAGACCTTGTGGCCAAGGCCCTTGTACTGCTAGGGCCACAGGACCCATAGTCAGGAATGTTCATGTCTTACGAAAGGAGCAAAAACCTGAGTGCTGCTGTGATTCAACCTGGCAGGAACATGCCAGGGAAGAGCCCATCCTCAGGCCCCACGTATACTGGGAAACAAGACCTTCTTTCCTAGAGCTGGTTTAGCTGGATTTGGGAGAGGGTTTGGCTGCTCCGCCTATGCCTGGGATCCAGACTGCTGTCCTTTCATGGCCATGAAGCTGAGGCCTCAATGCCGTGGGCAGCATACAGTAGCTGTCATGCCAGGCCAGGAACCCTGCACCACTGCTGCTACCTGATCCTGCCAAGCTGTTAAAATAAAGATAAAGGAGACTTGGACTCCAGGCTCCTCTATGGCTGCTCCAATTTCTTCTTTCCAAGCAGTCAGGACAAGAGGAACTTGAGAACAAGATTGTAACAGAAATTGGTAAAGGGGGTAATGGTGTATACAGGCACAGGGAGGCACACAGCAGCGCAGACAGACTTTATTAGTGATATCAGTACAGCAGAGGTGCCCACAGAACAGGGGAGGGGGATCCATGCCTGGACCAGTCCCCTCCTTCTGCCCTGCTGGGCCTTATTAAGATGGGGCCTGGTCTGGACCAGTTCTTCCTGTTCCACCTCAAATACTGGGGATGGAGAGCCCAGGACTGGCCTTGCTTCCTGCTCCTCTTGTCTTAAATCCAGTGTTATCATTTCCTTGAAGGGATTAGATCTCTTCCCACCCCAGCCCTTAGGCAGGGAACCCAGGGGTACTGAAGAAGGGCAACTTTGGGGGACCTGAGACCTCAAGAATAGTATCCAGGGCTCCTTCCTGCCCCACACCCTTGAGTTCCCTGGGGCCTAACATGAGCAGGTGGAGGGAGGAGTGGGGCATCTTCATGGGGTCTGGGACCCAAGACGTTTGGGCTTAAGGGAGCCCCACAGCGACTGAACACCCCTGCGGACAGTCCAACCTACACGCCTGGCAACAGACTCTGCAGGAGGTGCTGGGAGGCAGGAGGTGGAGGTCTGGGAGCGGGCATCCAGACACTT